ATGGGATCGGATCCCGTCCTTGATCTCTATGTATGTCTTTCTGTCAGGATGGTAAATGTTATTTAATGTTACATTAGTAAATCTTGAAGTCTGGGATGGGATGATTCACGATGAATAACAAATTCAACTTGTTGCCATTTTTGCTCTGCACAGATTTGCTTTTGATTTCACTTGGCAGTGCGCTGGTGGATGTTAATTCTTGGCAGTATTAGAATAGTAAACAGCAAAATCTCACGTATATTAATTTTTACATTTTCACATTACAGTTCTTCATTGATTAATTTTTAGATTGATCCCAGAAAGCACTTAGAGAAATATTACAGTTTGCACTTTATTGGCATTACATGACACTATTTCTGGGCTCCAGCCCAGCCAAATATATTCTTAAGTGTAAGCAAGTGCCATTGATACCAATGGAAATATTCATATTCTTAAAATTAAACATATGCTTAACCATTTTAGTGAGCAGAGACATCTGGTCTCTTATGGAAGACCTATCTAAATCAATGCAGCATCAATTGCAGACTGTGAATTTTATAACTCAGTGCACAACTGAATGTTGCTTTCGGTGAATACTTCAGCATTTGAGGTATCTTTGCCTTTTGTTAAATATTTGTGCTAGTGAGATTAAACGTGCCAGTTCAGAAGAATAACCTAATTCAGTTCAACACTTAAATGCATGTTTAGAAAAACATGTTAAGTGTGCTCATGAATTGGGACCTAAGTGACTGAATGTTCATAGAAACTGTGTAAAAAAGGTAGAGAACAGTCCTAATTGAACCAATGTTCTGAAATGTAATGTGAAGGCACAGAAAAATTAATCCATCAATTTTAGGTATTTTGATAGCAACCATTACTAGAGAATTGAAGTTATTTGAACCACAAATATGAATTGCTTGTTTTTCTTCCAGAAAGAGCAGTGAAAGTGTGTTCCCAAGTGAAACTAATTCATAAAGGTTTATAAAAATGATTGAAAAAATCATTTAAGTTTTTGATCAAAAATATTTCTGTCAACTAGTATATTTGGCCAGGTAGCAGCCATGCTCCTCCTTATTAAGAAGCAACTTTTACCCACATCTCCTCTAGGCTGGTTGGTCAAAACCGTCCCTGATCATGTGTGCATCCACCGTGTGAGCACATACAGTAAGGCATAGGCAGGCACCTTCAAGACCCTGACCGCTGCAAACATGATGACAGAGTGTTTGCTGAAATGCAGCTTCCAGCTAATAAGGACCTGATACCTTTCATCGGTCCAGCAAAATCATCTGGAATGATTTGTCAGTCTGGACAATTCTGGCATTTTTTTAAATGACCCTACAGCTAATTTTGTCCTATATGAAATGTGGATAACAAGGATGTGGGTAAAACAGTAACAAAAATTAAACCTCTTCTTTCCTAGCAGTTGCAAGGTGTGTGTAACAGATTGCCAACCCCTGAGTTGCAAATCCTGGGTCAAACCTCAAAAGTAGCGCTGAGAATTGAAAGGACGACTTCTGAAGGTAATGATATTTGGAGTTTATCTATCTGCTTCCTGAGTTTCTCAGCCCTTTGCATTCGTGGTTTCAAGATTTTCACTGCAGACCTAAGAGATTGAAACTGAAAAAAATCAAAGCTGAATTGATGTTTTTTTAACATGACTCCAGAAATTGGTTCTTTAAATCAATCATAAAGATTGCCAGGCTTGCAGTAAAATCCCGAGACTTAGCGACGTTCGTTGTATGTTACAGAACTATCATCTTCCTTGCCCTTTGAGACAGTTAACAAATAGAGATTTTTTGCAAAAGGCATAAGAGACTCTCCAGTGAAATAATTTCTTCTCCTGGCATTGTTAAAAGCAGGGGCTGGGTTATTATTAAGTACTCCTGCATTATTTAGCAGGTTCATGAATGTGCAATGTATTTTACAGATAAATCACTCTGCCTTGAAAAGTTTCCAGTCGGCGGGCCAAATCCTGCAGTGTAAATCTGTAGCAGCAGGAGGCAACTCAGTGCGGCAGAACAGGTAAGTGTTAATCCTGGATCCTGCAAGATTGGTGTGTTATCAATATTATTTCATTTGTGTTGCAATAGCACCAGATAGACTCAACTGATGGCATTGTTTCACAACCTCTTTAATCTGGCGTCAGTTGAAAGAAGCAGCAGCTCTGTC